CCGACAGAAATAATATTTGAAGGCAGAATGGTAATCTGGATGAACTGACTGTACTGACGATGTTTTCAGGTGGACTTTCTCACTTCAAAATAGATTCAAACTACTTTTTACCCACTGATCACAGCAAATATAGCTGCTATTGTTACAGGCAAAGAAAGGATAGGGTATCTCCATCCAACACGCATCAGACCTACTTTTTCCACCAAGCAGCTGGAGCAGCAGAGATGCGCATCAGAACTAAACTTGTACAAGCATCAAAAATGAAGCAACACGTGCGTTTTTGCTGCTATTGCTGCTTTAGGTATGAATGTAGCATTTCACTGCATTGAGGAGTCTATTCGATCATGTGTCAGGGTACGAACACAGAGGGGGGGGGGGACAAGCAGACGAGCATGACTGACATGTCATGAAACCAATCGTGTATAACGGACCGTCTTTTGTGATTGGTTGGGTTATTCATTGATTTCTCACTGTAGCGGTGACCGTTTATTTTAGTTTCACTTCCAGACCTTCTATTTTACTGCTTGCTAAGCAGCTGTGGGGAGATCTTTAAGGCACAGGGTAAAAAAAAATGAGTCAGAAAAGATCTCCTACTGCACCTTTAAGTATTCAAGTTTTTAAATGATCATGTCACCACAAGTGGAAGGAAAATAGAAAACATTTGATTTTTACAAAGAAATATTTAAAAATTAAGTTTGCCTCAATCAACTTCAAAGATCTCCATTTGCCTCAACTACAACAAAACGTCTCTTGAGCCACATCTTTTTAAGCCTATCCTGAGATTAAACTAACACATATAGATTTTGTTTACAATGGTTGTCAAGGCTACCCATTGAACTAAATTTGATTTAGGAGTAATGGAATAAAGGAGACTAAATCCAAATTTTCCGTTGGTTTATCACATACAACTCTATGGAATCCCATTTGGATACTTTACCAAGTCCCTTTAAAGGTTGCATGACCTACGAGTTATCTTAGCCCTACAGGTTTTACCTTATTTTGATAGATGCGGTGTAGTTTGGGTTGTCCACTTGATTTCTGACGTGTCGCACCATGTCCTTTACAAGCTCAGGCTTGTTTATGAGACATGCACCGTAACCAGCTGACATAGCCCATCTAAAGAAACACAACAAACGAATTAATTAAAGGTTTACATGTATAAGAGAGCATAAAGTTGAATGCATTTGTTCTAACATAAAGACTCAAAACTAGGGTTGGGAATTGATAAGATTTTCATGATTCTGATTCCCTTATCGCTTCTGTGAAACGATTCGATTCCTTATCGATTCTCTTATCGATTCTGTGAAACAATGAACTTGGTAAGTGTTTGGTGACATTCGTCTACCTTCGCTTGAGACATTCTATTTCTGCCTGCCCCGGCGAAAACAGAAGGCAGTGAACGGGAGCTGCCAGCCTCTTAGCCAGCTAGGCTACCCGTCTCGTCACAGTCATCTATATCTAATGTAGAAGGCATCCGTTTAATGAAAAAGCATTACTGTACATCTTCGGAAAATAAACTCATCTCTCCCTGATTTAAATAAATGAGTGTCACCTTTCTCGCAGAGCACCTTCATAGCATGTTTAGTAACTCCAAAAAGAGGTAGGAAATGGGTTTATTTTCAGAAATTGCATATGATTTACTAGGAACCACATTAAGCACAGCAAGTGATATAAAACTAGCTTCTTAGCACCAGAGTTGCCTTCAATGGTGGTCGTAACTTTAGCTTCTGTCCGGAAGCATAAAAAACATGGCGTTCGTTAAAATGAATGCCAAGTTGTGTGCGCAGGTGTTTCTGCATGTTGGATCTATTTCCTCCTGCGGATGTAATTGGCACTTTGCACTGATTGCAAAGCGCCTTGTTGCCATCTTTCTCTTCTTTAAAATGAAGCCAAACTTTCAACCGCTTTACCCGATGGGACGCCATTTTTTTGGTAAGTCGTGCTGCCCAGCACAGCTCTGGTGCTGCCTGGAACCGTTAAGAGAATCGTTAAGCCGGCTGCCAAACGGTGCCATGGAATTGGAACACACGGAACCTGTTCTTAACAGGAACAGGTTTTCGATTCCCATCCCCAGTCAAAACAGACTGGCATGTTTATGAGAAATTAATCACCTAAAATGAAAGTACTAAAGCATGAGTAAAAGCTATAATAGATAAGGCATTTTTTTCTCTCCCACTGGCATCACCTCTGAGGACAGCCACAGTTAAGATCAACTCCATCTGAGAAAGGGGCCACCACACAAGCTGCATCCGCCAAGGTCTGAGCATCATGGGCTGCAAACTGCACAATGAGGGGTCGATCACCTGAGAAAAAACATAACAACATATGATTATCACACTAATAAGTGCCACCAACTTTTGTTTACCATGCATTATGCAGGGTTATTACAGATTTAATAAATAATAGTTAGAGCACCTACGTTCATTGGTGGTAAACTCGCTGTCTCTGGCTTTGACAGATCGTAAGAAGTCAGTTGCTACAATCATTGGGGTGAAACAGACGTCACAGTTGTACTTCCTGACAAGAGATCTGAACGCTAACCTGTGAAAAAGATATGTTAACAACAACGGACACACTAAAAAAATGACATCACCGTCGGATCAAACTCGCAAAAGTCCTTACTTTGAATATCGAACCATAGGTGCACAGATCTTCAGCACTTTGCCCTGCTCAAACATGTCCATGATGCTGCTGCTGCTGTTTTCGTTGCCTGTTTTCATTCTTCACAGGTAACTTGTTAGCCACAAGCTAACAATTTGAACAGGGAATGGATCTATTCGATTTAAAATAAAAGACAAATGAACGGTCTGACATCTATATCATTAAAGTGAAGGTTGGTATCCAGCGTGGAATTCCTCTCTGTGGGCAAAACAAGCCGCCGTGGGTGTGTGAGTGGGTTTAACTGAGCTACAGAGACGTAGCGCATGGACGCCGGGAAACGTAGGCGTGGCTTCTAAAGTGAAACGTCACATAACGCGTCATTACATCCTTTATTTTTATTATTATCATTATATTTTTATCTTAATTTATTTTGGTCAGTGGAAGAATGTCTCATAAAGTACCAAACGTTACTAGAAAAAAAAAAAAAAAAGTGACGGTTTCACGCCTTGAGTTTTACGCCTACGTCATGATGCCTTCACGGTAGTATATCTAAAGAGGAAATTTCAGATCAACCCAAAAAAAGATGAAAAAATACCGGTATATCATATAAGACGATGGGTAGAAAATAACGTACCAAGTTTCCAAAAAAAAAAATAATAATAATTTAATTAAATAAATAAATACATAAATAAACAATTATATATATATCAACTCATAAAGAAAATTTAAAGACTGGCGTCATTTCAGCACCGTATAAAGCATATTTGTTGCTTTATTTGTTTTTAGGTGCCCCTAAATAACATTGATTTCCCATGTTTTTCGTAAAAAAGAAAAGCACAGAAAAATAGACAGAAACTATCAATAAGTTATAGTTAACATACAGAGCTTAGGTGGACATGTATAAAGAGGATTTATTTAGATTTGGTTGTTTTCAGCAGTAGGTGATGAAAAGGAAAAAAAGAGATTGTGTAAAATAAATCAAGACAAAATTCAGACAAAATTTGCAAAAATGCTTTTAAGCTGGGTCTATTGGGTCTATTGGTTGCAAACAATTTAATGTGTGTTAATTAACACATTAAATGCTTTTAAATCATTACTTAAGCATGCAAAATTGCTCTCAATTCATTTGTTTTGGTTGTTTCATAGCCACTATATTCTCCTGACTATGGACGTCAGCTGACCCAATACTATACAGAGGCACAATAGGGTACCAAGTAAAATGCGAGCGCACAAGGCAAATGTTTATTTCAAAAAAGCATGGGCAGAGATGATTATTGCAAACACGCGAGCAATTATTTTATAGCACTTTATTTATTACTATAAAGCGTCATAAATAAATTGTACAATCAGATTGTTATCTTCTGCATCATTAAATATTTACCTGAACCAAACTGAATTGAATTGGCCCACTTGTGAACTTAACTTTATATCTCTAATCCACTACTGATGAAGGCACAATTTATCTTTATTAAATATCTGTCAACAAACATGAGCTTGAAAACTGAAAACTTCTAATGTGCAACTGTAAAAAAAAACACCTCTACATACGTACATGTCTGTGTTTACTATTTCTATTTGGGCCCATCCTATGATGGTGTGATGGTGATGATCCTATGAGGTGTGTATATATCATGACCAGAAATATGGGAGAGCTGGATGTTCATTTTTAGTAAACTGTAGCTACTCAGCCGGTGGCGGCTGGTGGAGTTTTCTCCAGGGGGGGCAATAAATTCAAAATAGACGTATACCAAAAACCAATCAAACATATACTAAGTTATCACACCAGTGTATTTAAACGAATGGCAACAACAAAAAACATTATAAAAACAAAACATTTCCAGGTTTACGTTTTGTACATAAATCTTGCCCTTCTGAGGCTTCGTGAAGGTAAATCTCTGTTTTGCATGGTTCAATATTGTGTCACAAACCTAAAAAAATAAAGTACCAGTTTAATAATGGAGAAGCTTTTAGTCAGCTTTATATTTTTTTATATATAAAAACTATTTATTTTCTGACAATGTGTTTATTTATGAGCAACTATGCAGATTAACAAACATCTAGAAAAAGTAAACTATATACTATTATTTTCCATGTGAATTCCAGATTGTTCTTTCTTCTTTAAAGTGAAATACTGTTCAATTTAATTTCATAAAAAAAATATCTGCACTCTTCTGGGCTCTTCCTCTGCAAAAACGTGCACAAATTTTCTCTACTCTCATAACATTCCTATACAACTTGAAAGTTTTATTCTACACTGAATATTTTCAAATTCATCTGTTTGGAATTGCACCTTATCACCATAAAAATTTCCTCCTACGTGTTAAAAAAACGTGGTAATAAACCCATTTTACACATTTTTTTTCAGTCCAGCCACACTTGAGAAAAAGTGTTTATTCATTAGAATTTTAGCTTGAGGTGTTATCTGGCTATACATCTCTTAAAACATTAAAACATATAAATATTTTAACTGTATAGAGGCATAAAGAAATTATCTCTTTAGTTACCATTTGAGATATAACCTAATTATCTTTATCACGTTCAAATGACAAGAAAGTTTTTTTGTTTTTTTTTAGAAATCAGGTAATTTCATTCCAAATTGCTGATGGAATCGCGGTGATTTTAGGGATCTGTCCAAGAATTGGTTAAGTGAGAAAATTCACACCTTCAGTGAGCCAAATTGACTTTCACACAGTGTTTATTTAGACTGAGCCAAACAACATTATGTAGTTCCAAACAAACAGCTTAGGCGCCAGTATTGTGCTGACTGAGAAGAAACAAAAACATAAAGAAGGTCCATCTCTTGGGAATTTTATACCACTGTGGTGCTGGAATTCCAGATGCCCTCCTGCATTTTGCACCTTTTCATTACTCAACATAGCCACAGGAGACATTTCTAACTCCTTAGTCTTTATTCCTGTTCTTTTTTTTCCATTTTTAGTGAACTGAAAAGTGCTGCTCTTACATCATAAGGTTTTCTTGAAATGACACACATTCACACTCCAAGTGAACCATTTCAGGGCCTGGATTTGAAATTGGCAGTTGTAACTCAGCCAGGGTACAGTTCTCTGATCCACTGGGTTCCAGGATAAGTTAACACCAGTGTGCCCCATAAACCAGACTGTTGCAGTTCAAATAATTTTAAAAGTATGTGAAAAACACTGTCACACTTTGTAAACTTGGCAAGTAGTAACTTATGACTGCCAGTTTCCAAGTAGGAAACTATTAAAGTGGGCATAAATGCAACCAATAGAACTGTGAGCCTATTCTACACATTTTGCAGTGATGGAAGAACGCCTGCCTTAAGCTTTCACTGACTGAGCTGCAAGGTCAAACCAAAGTCGATTTCCTTATTTGTACCCAAAAACTTGGTCAGTGAAGGTTAATTAGATTCTGATATGTGATGAGGATTAAATACAAGTTTTTAGTTCTTTTGCTTTTTCAAAAGGTGGAACTACTTTTTGGACTATCGTACCCAAATGGACAAAGGGAGTTACTCAGATGAGCTACAGCTTTATAAATACAGATTTATATTTTATTTTGTATTTATTTTGATTCCTTACTAACTTCCAGGCAACATATTTTTTTTTTAATTTAATAAATACTTAAAAGTAAAATAGTTTTTATTTTTTAATCAATTATTCTACTTTCCATGTTTGGACAATCTTTAAAACTTTGGACTGACAGGAGAACTCATGGTAAGACAGAATGCCCAAAGGATTAAAAGTCAAAGTCAAAAAAGGTTTGGGAAACACTGTTCTAGAAAACTACACATCCAGATGCCTAAAATGTACCTTTCATGCTTTAATGCACAAGAAAAACAGACCTGAGCCTCTTAGTTTTTACCATGCTTTTACACTATACAGTCACAAGAGGGCGCTGTAGTACAGCATAAAGATTTATACAATAAGACAAAAAAAAATTAACTTCCTCTCAAGCAAACAAAAAATTGATATAGAGCAACTTAATTTAAAAATATATATAAAAGTAAAACACAGATTGTACAGCTGAAAACTAATTTCAAATGTGTGGTGTTCAACTTTATGATTCTGTTAAATCTATTACGGTAGATTTGTTAATGGCAGCAGGAATATTTTTTTAAACTATGGTACATTTTTCCAAAGGTTAAATAGAAAACATTTCAAATAAGTGATAAGTAATCATAACTTATATAAAAAAAAAGACATTTCCACAACTGAACATGTGTTCCTTTTATTTTAACTACACATCCAACAAGTGATTGAATTAAAAAGCCACAAAAACATATGGCATTTCAAAAGAAATTGACAAAAAACAGAAATGGAAAGGGTATAATTATTAGCATTTAAAATCTCAACCTGAATAAATACAAATTTAAAAATCAAATCACAACAGCTAGAAAAGTAGTGGAATGTTTTAAGCCAGTGATTAGCGCACTTATTAATGAATACCTTACTTAGGTGCCATCTGTGCTACCTGGTTAATCAAAACGTACACACTAACAAACAGTACATCTTCATAGCATGCACAACACCAGAGTGGTACATGCATACTGCTTGGAATGAGTCATGTGAAGAGCTCTACTTTATGCTGTGCACCTAAACACAGAGTTCTCTAAAAATAAAAACAAAAATGCACAAGGCTTTGGAAAAGGTCTTCAATTTGCACAGAACATGGAAATCATTTGTTAGCTGTTTAAGTCCTAGGTAACCTGCTAAATAATACTCTCATATCCAAACTAATTACACTGATCTAATTAGTTTTCTGAAAAGAAATGCCTCCTTAAAGCATTTAAAAGTGGTCTTTCTGCATGAATATGGGGAGTACTCCAGCTTCCTCCCACAGTCAACAAACATGACTGTTGGGTCTTCTCTAATTTGTTCTTAAGAGTGTGTGTGTGTGTGTGTGTGTGTGTGTGCATGGTTGTGTTGCCCTGCCATAGACTGGCGACCTGTGCGGGGTTTACCCCGCCTCAATTAAATGCCCATAAATATATAGAAAAACAATCTTAAACCCATTCTTATCTGTGCTATGGCTGAGCAGATCCTTCCAATCTTTAGCTTTGGAAAGAGACCAAAAGGAAGCTACACAACAGATCAGTGGCAAACATCCACATTAGCTTCAAAGCAAGCACAGCCCCCTCCTTCCAGAAAGAAGCTCTCTGATCAAGCAGGAACATCAGGGTAAACCAGAAAAAGAAACACTAGAATAAGAGTATTTGGTAGATGCTCCTATTTAGATTTTGAGTTTTAAAAGGCCTAAAGAGGGGGGCACAGCTGCTTTAACTGTGATTACCTCCAGCCCACTCAGGTCGGCTTGAAAAAAATAAAAACAGTGACCCAGAGGAAAAGAAATAGAGTCTATGGATGTTGCTGATCGTTCTAAGTAGAAATCAACAACTGAGCTTGAACTGACTTTCAGTGCATCTTCAGAGGGGGAGCATGGAGCCAAGATCTCCTCCTTCTTCACTGAGGCAGTCTACTGCCGCCAACCACCTCCAACTCCACACTGGACAAGAAACGCCTGGAGAGCCGGTGGGAGTCGTAGCTGAGCTCCGTTACATAGACAGTGCTGGTTTTCTTGGGGTAGATGATGGTGGTGCTCTTATAGCGGTGGGGTCGATGGCGGGGCTGGAAGTCCAGCTGGGTCTTGTAGTGGCGCCAAGTGCTGTGCGGCAAAGCAACTATTGTCTGCTGGTAGTGTTCGAGGCCCTGGCCCCATAGCTGGAGGGCCACGTTTTGAATGAAGTGACGTTTTGAGTCATAATTCACAAATGATGTGTATCTGGAGATCAGAGAACATTATAAGAACAAACATGATACTTATGAGTAAATAGAGCAAAATCAAATCAAATGTAAACAGCATTAAATAGATACACACTCAAATATTTTCATGCTATTATCATTTTATTACCCATTTAATATTTATGATTTGTGTATGAAATCATTAGAGCAACCCCTTTTTCTAAAAAACCTGTCCAGTAACATTTTAAATGCTCTTGGGAGCCTCTGGTGGGCCAGCATTGGGCCCTAGATAGCTGTACTGTATACATTTATGCCTTAGGCTTGTTCTCTACCTCAGTTCCTTTGGTGGTAACAGATCAATTGATATGCCTTCTCCAAAGGACAGAGGCTGCAGTTGCAGATTTCCAGCTGGTGCGAGTGAAATCTAATAAAGATAAAAAAAAAGAAGCAGCACAAATTACTTATTAACCAACATGTCACCTCATAAACCTTATTAAAGATCCTTAAAAGTTAGAATAATCGTCTGACCAAAGGTAACTCATACATTTAGGAGTCCTGTGTTCTTTTTGTACCAAATAAAACACAATCTGCTTTGTACACATTCTTAGAATTGTAGAATATTTCAGTCCAAGCTACAAATATTTTACTTTTAACAAGAAATAACCAAAGCAGTCCACCCTCTCAGCTTCAATTTAAGCTTTAGCTGCAATTTAAATGGCTACTTTAGCATTAGTAGCCACATGCAAAAGGTAATAGGGATCATCAACTATCCAGGAGCACCTGCTGCCACCCAGAACAATATGCCACTCTGAGGATGAGCCTTAATGCCACCATCAACAAAAACAAACAAAAACACTTCATATTAATTTTAAAGAACTGAAAGAAAACATTTGATTTAGTAAAGTTAGGGCTGCAACAAATTATTTTGCAATTCGGTTAATAATTAGATAGCTGATTAAAGAAGACTTTTTAAGAAATTAAACCAGATAAAACTAAAAATTTTCCGCTTGAGTTCTGGATAGAGCATATTTACAGAAGAAATTTTTTTTTTTTATCCAAAATGCAAAGTGTTTATATATTTTTCTAAAATTTTGATATAATTACTGTTTTAAGTGTGTCACTGTCAGCTACAAGCATGTTTTACAGTCTCTATAATCCAGTTAATGATTAATCGATTACTTAATTAGTTGATGATTATTTCAATAATCGATGAATCACGATTAATTGTTACAGCTCTAATTAAAATAATGCTAGATCAAGTGAAGAAACAGCAGCCATGATGTAAAAAAAAAACTTGTAGCAAATGAGTGGATTGTTGGATTCATCGGACTCAGATCATCAAACTGCTCGGCCATGACAGAGTTTATAAAAATGTGATATCTTGGAACCACCATAGAAGTTCCTACATACCAGAGGGGCCCTTCCTTCGTCCTCAGACCCCGGGGTCACCCCACCGGCTCTCTCTGCAGACGCAGGCTGCAGCCAGGCATTGGGACTCGGGCTGGGGGGTAACCCAGAGTCCGGGCTATCGAGTCCTCTCTCAGTCCTGCTGCAGTTCATACCCAGAGGATCTCCGTCGATTACATTTAGCAACTTCAATTCTCCAACCATATCTGGTGAAAAGTTGCGAAAGTCCTGCGGAGTGCGCGAGCCGCGGCTTATGAAAGAGAAGTTGCGTCCCCCGTGTTGCAGCAGAACTCCTTCCCGTGCTGAGCGCAGCGCTGCAGGCTGGAAATATCATTAACCTGAGGGGGAGGATTCCACTTCCTTCACATTAATATAAACTGATCAGACTTCCAGCTTCCTAATAGGGGGTGGGGGCAGGGGCTGTTCTTCAGTGCGGGACTCGGATTGACTGAGCAGAGCGGCCACCCGCGGCTCGTCTTCAAACTTTGGGCCCCTAAATGGGGCGGGGCTTTCACAGCCGCAAACACCGGAAACGAATCGCCTTTCCGAGCGTTGATTGGATGGAAGATAATTGGTAGCAAGAGGCAAAGTAGGGATTTAGGAGTTTTCCCAGACTCTCAATGATAGCAGACCCACAGTGAAGCCTGTGGTGTCTAAAGTACACACATTTGTTACTTTAGCGGAAGTATAGATACTACAGTTTAAACACACTCAAAGTTGAAGCAATGGCGGAATATCAGTAAGAAGAGACTGCAGTTGCCATTCACTGACACCTGGTTGGCCCCCTAACAATTGTGGACTACGTCGTTTTTTTGATGCGAAAAATTCCTCTTATACCACCTGATTCTGGTTCAACTGACCAGACCTTATTTACTGTATACCCCCAACACATGGCAGATTTTAACATAACGGTGAGCCGTTAAAGGAATAGTACACCCAAAACATGATTAGCCTTCATTTTCTACTCACCCCCATGCTTAACAACACTCTGGAGTACTTTTTTGATATCTGAAATGCATCTGGAGATCTGGGAGGCTTCTTGCTGTCTGCTGACATTCAAATAATGGAGGTCTACGGCGCCCGAGGCAGAAAGGTCCATAAAAGTCCACAAAAAACGTGTCAATATTCCTCCATACTGCTCGTCCAATGTATTCTAAGTGTCCTGAGAGGGTAGCGTCCACAATTTACTTTCCTGAAAGCGTGCGCCAGCGCG